CCAATTGAACTTATTTTTCTTTATACCAATTGAGTAAATTCATTTTATATTAAAATATTTATTCATTACTCACCTTTAAGTTCACAGATACCATTTATGAAGTAAAGAACTAAAATAGTAATTTACATCATACATTATAAAAGACTAACAGTAATCAACATTTACCTTTTTACTTACTTACCGGTGTCGTTGGGAGTCCATAGGAGTTTCCACTATACTTGACCTAAGTATTTATTCTATAAATCAACTGACCGTCCCTTTACCTCGTTTAGTAATGAACGTTAAATACACTACCGCTTCAATACCTCATCCGGTAATGAGTGTAATTAAATAATTCCCAACCCTTTCCGGTATGGGATTTCTCAACCACGTCTGACTGAGAATAATGTCAACGGCAGAGTTTACCTTATGTACCAAATCTATATACTATTTTTCATGACACCTGATAAGCCCTTTAAATTCGTATCACTATTTCATGCACATACATGTTTCATTGTTACCTAAGCAATCAATAGTCATGAGATCATACATTAATTCAGAAAAGAGCGTGTAGTTCATGTTTTAGTAACCAATAGAGATAAAATCGTATCAATAGTGGAACGAGGAGGCAACATAAGGTAGAAATTTTTCATGTAAATAAATAGGCCAAATGAATAAAATAAAACGTAGATGGAATAAAATAAAATATGAGGATGAAATGGAAAGGAATAAACTTGGACAAAATAATACAAGACACCAGAACGAAATAAACTAACGAAATGGAAATAAATATTAGATAAAATAAATAAATAAATAATTAAAAGATAATTAAAGAAAAAAAATGAACTCACAAATAAAAGTACAAATAAAAATAGAGAATGACAAGTAAAATAAAATTAATAATGGACAAAACTTATTTAATTTACCAGTTCCATCGGCAACATGTATTTAGTCGTCAATGAATCACAAAATCGTTTAAACTACCGTTTATTATTATTTTAACTTTAATTTATTGTAATAGAAAAAATAGTGAGAGATTCTTACCCCGGGTTGATGTTCGGAATATCGCATTTTTCACTATACTTTTCGGTGATTCTTGGTTTTTGAATTTTTTGAATTTTTCTACAAAAATCAAAACATTGTCAATATCATGAAAATACGTAAAAAGTGGCCAAAAAGGGTCAAAATTCTCTTGAGCATTGGTTTAGGATTCTGGCACTGTGGTGCCATCGTGCTCTGGTGCCAATTCTGCTACCTACGACAGCTCCTCCTCTTGGTTAGGCTGGTTTTGACCGATTCTGGGTGAAAATCTGCGTAATTTAAGGTTAAGTGGAAAAAAGGAGGAAAATTGAAACTTACCGACAGTTTGGGATTTCTGGTGCGACGGCTCTGCTGCTCGTCCCTCACGGTCGTGGTCCTCCTTCGGTTGTCCTGTACCAATAATATGTTAGATAAGCTATGGTCGAAAAATAGAGAGGAACAAGAAGAGGATTCGGACTCACTGGAGAGATTTTTTGGTTTTGAGTGCAGCAGTTCAACCAAGCTTCGCCCTCTGTTTTTTACTTCTTATTTGGTTTTTCAGCATCGATTAGGGTTTGAGGTGGTTTAAAATAGAAAAACAAAGCGAACGAGAAAAAAAAATTCACCTTTTGGTGTCGATTTGGTCTCCAGTGCGACGGCGACAGTGGTCAGGTTCTCTTCCAGCTGTCATTCTTCTTCTTTTTCGACGAATTGGTTGCTGCTAGGGTTAGAATTTTGGTGGAAGAGGAGCTTAAATATTCCTCTTCTTTCGATCCAGGCCGTCCGTTTGGGTTCGCGTGGGCCAATCTCACCATTGGATCTAGCTTATTTAGGAATCAAATCAGAGCCATCTGATTGAAGACACGTGGGTCGTTTCATCGCGCCTGATAGAAAAATGAATCTGGACCATTCGTGCGCGCATGAGTAAATCCAGACCGTTGGATCGATTGGCACGTGGATTATCCGTGTGGCCTATCGCGTGGAATGCACATCCACATGTCTGCCACGTGGCGCACGATGATTGGTCATGCTGCTGACATGACCGTCATACGTGACTACTTTTTTTATTTTTGTACTTTTGTTCTAGTTTTTAAATTTTCATTTCAAATGGGTTTTCTTTTATTTTCAGTTTGTCCCATCTCTTTTAAAATTAATTTTAAATACATTCAAAATGTATATTTCTTCAAAAATTCAAAAAAATTAAAATTAAAAAATTTTTAAAATTATCATTAATATAAATTTAGTCATTCCAAGCATAGATACCGAGCTCAGTATATTACATAAACTAACCATTATTTCAGTATTATAATTAGATGCAGCATAAATCTGCTCCTGAGCTAAGTCATTCTTGCTTAATCTTGAATCAAGAACTGCAATTAGATGAAAGGCCAATCGGTTAATTCCAAATTAGCCAATTGTTCCCAATCCAAATCATCAATGCCCATCACTTGACTATCACTAGTTTCTGCACTTTGATTAGGGTTTTGATTAGAAGCCGATGAAGCCATTTGACCGTAACTGAGATTGAAGGAATCTGTTTGTTGATCAGGCATTGGCCTCTGTATGATCAATGCCGAAGTTGGGCGTCTATCAAATGATCGCAAGCATTTTGATTTCTTGTACACCCGGCAGAGGCTGAATTCTTGCATTAGCTGAAAATATTAGGCCCACAAGATTAGCATATGTATATATATATATTTCCCTTACATGTATATATATAGACAAACATACAGAAAAAGGTTCCTAAGAGGAAGATAAGGACTTATCTGTCTACTTTGCGGACATTTTACATATATGTATTCTCCTTATATATATATATAAAGGTTACTAAGAGGAAGATATAGACTTATCTGTCTACTTTGCAGACATCTTATATATGATATTTATATATATAAGCACACTTTATACATGTTATCTATAAAAGCGTCAATAAACCCTAGTTATTAATTGTCAGGTTTATGCTGCTCAATTATTGATCCATAAACTAATTACAAATACGAAAATTAACGAATAAAATAAGCATGAATTCAGCTAAAAGAACTTGGAAAAAGTTTAGAATATTGAACTACATATATATATTACATACATGCACTATATATATATATATATATATATATATATATTACAAGCTGCATCTTTTCATATACAAGGGTACTTTTCAGTAGCAGACTGGCTATATGTATACCTACACACATACCCACATGGTGCTAATAATTAATCCAGCGATTCTTTGATCATTTGGGGCTAATAAGGTTATAAAAAATGGTAACGTTCCAATTTTTTTTAGGGCTCTAGTTTAGGATGTGTATAAATTCACATATTTTATTAATTAAAAAATACAAAAAACACATTCTATATATATATATATATGACTACATCTATTGTATCTAACACAGCCAGCAGAATCCATTAAAGAGTTGATATATGATAAAATACCGTCATTCGAGGTAATCCAGTGGAGGTAGAAGCAGTTGGCTGAGAGGCGGAACCTGGTTGATGATGATGATCTGCTGCTTCAACAGCTAATTTGTATTCGTTCATCTTCCACTCGGTTTTTCTTCCTCTTGGAGCTTTTCCATTGTAGAAGACCATCGTCCGTTTGCCGCCGATTAATCGGCCGGTCGAGGACGAGTAAACAAATCCAGGAGTGCCGGTGGCTTTCCAGTATCCGGTGCTCGTCAGCCGTCGAGGTCTGCCTCCTCGAGCTTCACTCTCTTGCATTGGAACAAAGAAAAACCACTCTGAATCTTTGCGACACAGATTTCCTGAAAATCCTGCAATATAAAGAAAGTACAAATCAAAATTAATTTACCCATATATATATTGTTCTAGAATCTATTTATATAGATACTCACAAACATATATAATTCATTTGCAGTGATCTTTCCTGGTTTATACGTACAATCAGATTGAAATTTTCCTAAGATAAAAAAAAGGTTGTTTGATAAGACTGAATTTTTTCACTTTAATTTTTCTGTTCGTATTCTCTTCGTATCTATCTATATATATATATATATATATATAGTACGTATATACTTGATCACGATCGTCACAGTTTTGATCATATGATGATTTTTAACTGTAAAAAACTAATGCGTAACAGTTTGAATCTTCCAAAAAAAAGAATGACCAGCTGTAAGTGTATAAAAACCCTACATTAATATCCTCCATCGTCTGACACGATCAGTAAATAAAGATGATATATAACGGATAACTACACCAAAAGCGACGTGAGTACTAAACGAACTCAATCAAAAACATCTATACATACATATATATATATATACATATGTGTGTATATGTTTCTGTATATAATGAGTTAAATTCAAAGCTATAATCGCTGATACTCAGTTGGGCTTAAAGTCTAAAAAAAGCCAAAAAGAATAAAATGAAGAGCAGAAGGAAGATATTTACGTGGAAGCTCCGAAGGTTTGTAAGCATATATATCGACAACAGGTATAACCTGATCAATCAAGCGGTTCAGATCTCCTCTTCTTCCCTCTATCTTGTTACGCAGATAGAAAGATACCAACTCTTCTTCAGTCGGATAGAATCGAAACCCAGGAGGCCAATCCTCCATTTTTCCCTGATCTCCAGCAAGTTAAAAAATATATATGTTTAAATTATTCTCTATATATGATATAAATATGGATATATTTTCTGCCGTAGCATCATTTAATATAGACAAGATGAAATATATATATATATATATATATATATATATAAAATGCGTGTGTGTATGAGTTAGGCGAGAGACCGGAGAGGAGGAGGAAAAGGGCAAGGCGTAGGGAAGCACATGGCTAGAAACTTCTACGCGCTTGTCTGGAAGAAAAATTTTGTACTGTGAGTTCCGCCAGTGGCATCGTTGAATTGGTCAACGTGATATTCCCCTGGTGCAAAGTACATGGTTGGTCCTCTGTACTCGGTCTATGATCCTCTTGATTATTGAATCCTGACCGTTAATTCTTGATAATCACGGTCTGACATAAATACTCCGTGATTAATGTGCGTATATATAAATATATACGTGTATGTATATATAATATGAAAGTAAGAAAAATTTTACATTAAAGTCGAGTTCACACCGTTGATCGCCTACTTTCTACTTACGGTAAAATAGCTAATAAAAAATTATAACAACGATCTAATGACTTTAGTAATTAAACAATTTTAATTTTTTTTTTTTTCAATAAGAATATAATAGAAATTATGTTTTACAAAAAAATATTTTCTACGCAAATATATTTTTTAAAAAATTAATAATGACAATAAAATAATTATATAATGAAGTCATAAAATCATTAAAAAAAAAAATTACCCGTGGTCCAGTAGGGTGAGTAAGGTGTACAATATAGCAGTCAATAAAGTCATCAAATCGGACGGTCATAATTTATGGTCTAATAGTTTGACTGTTAATCTGTGTCTCCAACTTATAGACCGTAGTCCCAAGATAGCCGCGGGAGGGAGTCACTCTCTCTTGCACTTCAATTTTGACTTTTTTTCCTTTTTTTTTTTTTTTAATAACGTCAAATTTGATCTAACAGTTATAAAAAAAAAAAAAAAAAAAACACTGCTTTAGTATAAATTTTACTGCAATCAATCCCATATGTATATACATAAGTATATATTCTTCAGAATTTCATGTATTTCCATTTCTAAATTTATCAATTAATTTAATTAATTGAACACGAGTCGTGCATCCTTTCTTGGAAACTCAAAGGCAATTCCTTATTCTTTTAATTATTTACGTTGGATTTTATATAATGAGAGTTTATATTGCTAATAATTTAACCTTAGTAAAAATGTTTTGAAATTTAAAATCATTATATAAAATTAGAAACTTCGACAACACTCATTTAAAAAAAAAAAACAAACATTCGCAAATTTATAATTAAAAAAAAATATAACTCTTAAATGAATATATAAAAAAAAAAATAAATTGTTTCTGTTTATTTTTTAAAAAATAAATAATATTTAAAAAATATATATTATCATTCTCTCTAAACAATAAACATATTTTTCTCCGAGTCATTTATCTTCCTCAGATTTTTCTCCTTATGTAAGTTTTGTAAAGATGGCTGAATATATGCAGCGGTTGCGGTTGCGGTTGCGGGAGAGAGAAAAATGTTGAAAATATACATGTATGTATGTGTGTGTGTATATATATATATATATTACTAAAAAAAATTAGGAGGATGATGTACTGTGTGTGTGTGACAGAAGAAAAAAAAAAAAAGAATGCAGTGTCAGTGTGCGCGAAAAAAGAATAAAAAAAGAAGAGAGGAGATAGAGATAT